TAATGTCAGGTGTCAGGTGGATTCTCTCTTAAATTTGTCACTTTTTTTCAAGCTAAAAATCTTAAGGGGCTCTTTTGCCATGCAGACATCCCTAAGGACCAATCTTAACACATCTCTGACTTAAAAAAAAACTTAACCCTGTAGAGAATGATGGCCCCTCATGAGAGAGGGTTTCCTGGTGCTTTTGGTTTACAATTAACAGAGGCCTCTGAAACATGATGTAAATCCCCAAAAGAGATTTCTTTCTTAACCACTAAACTTATCTGAACAGAAGATGAGCTTATTTTTAAGGGGGTGGAATGCCTTCAAAACATCCTTCACTTTGTATTTACATCTCAACTTGTAGTAGGTAATATCTCACGGGTGGAGCAGGTGCTTGAAGAACATTCTGACACAAAAAGCCTCCTGAAAATACATCCAGAAAATTCACCTGACAACAACATGTGATAGAGTAAGGCAGCATCTGTAGCACCTGTTTGGAGGCCCCCAGCTGTGGAAACTCAGCAGGAGTCCATACATGCAGCTCAGGTGAATACTGAAGAAGGGATCTGGGAAAAAATGGAGGACAACACAATCAAGTGAGGTAAGAGTCGGGATATTAGTCACAGATTTGTACATAAAGACCTTTCCTCTTAGTTCTGCTACAGAATAGAAATATAAACTGGAATATGCCTACCTGGATTTGGGTTCTCATGTTAAGTTCTGTTCTGAGCCCCACTTGTGGCTGGATTGTTGCTTCTTTGGTGGGACTCCACAAATGCTGCATAATCTTGTTAACAATGGCTTTACAGGGTTGTGGGGAATGGGACTTTCTGAGAAAACCTTTTAATCTTGCTAAGCTTTGGTACATCTCCAAAAGAAGCCATAATCAGGGTCCTGAAGATGTAAAGGAAATGTTTTTGTAGTGGTGAGCAAAGGTGAGGTACATGGGTAGTGCTGAAACAGTGTGGAGCCATTTCCTTTTCATAGACCTGATCTTGTTATACATCACTCATTTTTGCACTGCTGATTCATTTGGAATTTCAGCCTCAGTATACTGACTGAGATTTATGATCACCTGAGCTTTTTCTATAAAAATAGTTCTTATTAGAAGCATCATTGCAACTGCCCCCCTGTGTACGTTTGATACCTGTTCAGAACTTGCAAGAGAAAGTTCCTGAAATTTCAGACATTTCTATCAGGTAAATTCTCTGCCTGTTTTGATTTTATTTGGTTTACATTGATTTTTGTATGCCACCCAATTCAATAATTTTTATTTTATACTAAAGCATGTCCTAAATTATAATTCTGGAAGGAAAGGAGGTAAGAACTGCTGTGACAGAGAAAAATCATGTCAGGCCAAAGGCAGGGCCATGGAGTGTTGGTGTCTTTTTCTTTTCCTGTTTAATTTTCTTTTTCTACTTCTATGACAGACAAGCCAAAAAAACTGGCTATCATCAAGCTAAAAGCTTTTGACTTATTAACACTAAACACAGAAATGGAATCACCTTGTAGCTGTGAGCAGTGAGTACTGCAGTTTGTCTGATGTGCAATGACTTGCATGGGTGCTGTTTCCTCTTCTTGCCATTAGTCAGAGACACTTCTGTGGAACACAGGACATTTGAAGTTTCACTGCTCTCATCTTTTATTCTCTTCACACCTGTCCTGCTCTTTGAAACAAGCAAGAAACCACTAATTTTCTCTGAGCAAGAAACCACTAACCACAGTTTACCTGGTAAGACTCAAGTTCAAAACTGTGAAAAATTAGGACTGCTTGCAGGCAGAATAATTGTTTTTAAAGTGGAGGAAACATCTTCAAGGAACAGCTGGTGACATGGTCTCCATTGCTGACAGACACAGATCATCTGTTAATCTGTTATACTTCCATGAAGAAAGTGTGATGTCAGGTTTGTGAACACCTATCCTGAAAGCATGTGTGAGGATTTCTATGAGAGTGGGAAAAGTCTCTTATTTTCTCACTGCTGATAGATAGATAGATAGATAGATAGATAGATAGATAGATTTGTGGGAAAGATGCTAGCTTGACTTTGCAAGATTTTTTTCTCTTCATTTTTTTCTACTTATTTGCATTTTTTCTCCAAACTGGAGCATGCATTAGTGTTTGCTAATTCTTTCAATTCTTTAAAATTTCTGTGAGCCAGATGTATTAATGTAGCAAAGCAGAGGCAAGCAGCTTTGTGTTGATTGTTGCCTAATAGTGTGCAGCCTTTGTTTTGATTTGATAGCACAACTTTGAGGTGGGTTTGTTTTTCAAACAGATGTTATTGAGAAGGATGAACAAATAAATTAATGTGTTAACTTTCTACAGTTTATTAAGGTAATCAGGAATGAACATTGCAATGATTATGTTGCAGGCATATAACAATAAATCAAAAGATTAATTATGGCACTCCCTCCACATTCAAATCCTCCCCGGGGCATGAGCTTCACCACACTGCCTCCACCCTTGCTCCCAACTGCAAGAATCCATTTTCCTCCCAGGAACACACCACCAAGGGTTAGCATGCAAAGGAAAGAAGCTCCACTGAGGGTTATCCTTGGGCAAAAGTCAGGAGGGAGGCTAGCTCAGCTTAGAGCCTTATTCTGGACAGCGCACTTGTAGGAAAGACTTTACACCTGTTGTTATATGGGCACACATGCACATACATGTCCTCTGCAGCTTTTATTAGTTCAGACCTACACCAGCTAAACAGCATTACAGCAGCCAGTGAGCTGAAGCAATGTGCTACTTACAGTTCACTATAGGCAAATGGCAAAACTCAGAGTCTTCTGTGAATAGTTGCAGAGATTTTTCTGCTTTAATAGATACCCTTCTGCTACTGACTAATGATTGTGATGAATGAATTAGCCATCATTTTTCTGCAACCACTGTAGGAACAATATGTGAACCTGTGAAAGAGGAAATAAGAATAGAAAGCCACTCACATCTAACAGCAAGAAACTGGAGGGGGGTGTTAACACTGAGTGCTGATAGCAAAGACATCTATAAAAGTCTGTCAGTATCATTTCTTCAGAGCTTTCCTAGGCTGGATGAGGGTGCCAGAGTACTTATGAATTTTTAAATATTCTTACAGCTTCAGATATAGCTCTGGAGGGATCTCTCATGTAGAAGTAAGTTATGAAGCAAATCTTATTCCCCTCTACCTCTGCGTGATCTGAAGCATGTAACTCTGATTCAGGAAAGAGAGACTGCATCCTTCTGCTTAGCCTTAACTTTGATGGGAGTAACTTCCAGCTTACTCTGACTAAAGAAAACTAACAAATAAAGAAAAAGAAAAACTTATATAAACTACAGAGTTACCAGGGCAGCATGAACAATCCGATATCAGGGGATAGTAGGGTTATGGGGACACCAGATATGGTGATGATGGTGAGGGTAAGATGCAGAAATATGAATCATTCTGCATAAAATCATAACCTTTTTTTTTTTCCAAATGGTTTTGCTGTTCTTGTTTGATCTTCTCACTTTGAATCTCTCCTTGTGCCAAAGCTACCCCATTTAGGAAACAGTCAGCCAGGCAAGACCTGCCAGATGTACTGAATGCTAGTCCTGGCTTGTACAATCTGCTGCCAAGGGGGATAGAAAGCATTCCTTTCTGGGCCTTCTTCTGTCACTGTGACTTGATCACTGTCTCCAACTGATGTTGTATATCACTGCACCTTCCCACGGGAGCAGATAATTCCTGCAATCCACTTCCTGCACTGTGAGGGCTCCTCCAGACCCTCATAACTTAAACCCCACTGTGTCAATTTTTCAGTCTCCTTTTCCCTCTCCCTTGCCCATGCTGCTGGCAGCAAAGGCTGTACAGATTGGTGACTACTCTGTGGTTAACTTATTTTGTATCTGATGAGAAGCTGAGAGCCACCTTTGGGTCCAAGACTCTGCCAGCCTTTATGTATTTTCAGATTTAGCTGAGAGGAACCAAGTGCATTTGAGAGATTTTCAAGTTAGCTGCTGAGAGACTGACTGATCCCCTAGATGTGGTGCCAATAGTCACAATTAGTTGCTAAAACTTGTTACAATTAATGTGGTCTCAAATTAATGTTTGAACATGACTAGACAATAGATTTTTTTTTTAAAGGAGACAAATCTTATGCTTAATATAAAGCAGTTATAGACCCCTCAGTGATCTAAAACCAAAGTCACCTAGGAATATAATAAGGGGGTAATGGTTTGAATTGCTTCTCCCACATTTCCTTGTTCTCCTCACAATAACTCCACAATTTATTTGCACTCATTCTTCTGTAATGTGAGAAAGCAACAAGTAGAACAAATGCATTATCTAAGGTTACCCAGCTCCTCCCAAGTGTCATGCTCAGGTAAGTCCCAAGGGCTTGTGGATTCCAGCAGCACAAATGGGAAAGCCCAAACATTGTCCCCACTGCACTGACTGCCCTGTCCATTGAGTGGGTGTTAAGTGCTTTTGGAGAATAAGTAAGAATCACCTTTCCACTGAGATTTTAGATCATGTACCACCCCAGTTGAACAGTTTAGAAGGTACCTCCAACTACGTCTCTAAAAAAAACTCCAATACATTTTTCAGACCTTCTGCTAAAATGTTTACAAAACTGGTGAAAAGAGTTTGCAAGGTCACCATGAATGCCAGATCTGCTCATCAGAAGATTTTTAAGAGCTATAATGCTGACAACTGTGCTGCTTAAGGGATGAGGCTGATGGTCTGTGATGAGAGCACTGCTAGACAGGAAGATATCCTGGCATTAGTTTCTGTGTAATGCAGCTTCAAGCATCTGAACTTATTTGCTCCATTCCTACAGCATTTATGATCAAGGCTCTTGCAGACAGAGTGGTTTAACTCTCAAGCAGATTATTTATTGCTTCTTATGCAATTTTCTAATTTCAAAAAATGTAAAAATGGTGTTCTAAAATATTCATTGTGAAATACAACATTCTTCATCCTTCCCATGTCTTTTACCAATGGACCAAAATCTATCACTTATGTACAGTTTTCATGAAACAAACATATGCTGTTAAAGATCAATAGGAAGACAATGATTTTAATAGGTAAGGGTCTGCATGGAACAAGAGATCATGGCAAGGATTTTACATAAGAGTCCTTAGAATGATAAACCATATCTACAAACTCCAGGATAACCTCAGCAGCAGTCACAACCCACCTATCAAGCACCTGTGAGGACAAGATCCGCCCGTTTTGTACAAAGAAAACTGCTCTTTGTTTAACCTACATTAGTCATTCTGGGAAAAATAGTCCTCATATTTCATAGTGTAGTTGAACAAAAAAAAATCCATTTCATACAATTTTTTGATCTTCTCAATTTGTTCTGAGGTCAGTTGTCTGAGGTACTCTAAGGTGATATCACCATCAGTTCTTTTCTCTGAGCCATATCTCTTCAAGCTGGGGTATTGCAGGCTCTCTGGTGCACCAATGACATTCAGAACATGCTGAGAGTCCAACCCAAGAGTTTCATACTTACCCACAATATCATAGTGAATGTTGCAAGGATCACAGAGCAGAAACATTGGTTTCCAGTGAATGTCAAGAGTATGTGGTGGTTTTGCAATAATGAAGTTGACAAACTCCTGGAAACTCACTTTTTCAGGAGAATTTTTGTTTTTCCTGAACATTGCCCTAATCTCATTAGCAATAGTGGTACTGTAGAATGGTTCAGAGTGCAGGAGTTTGTCTCTGTAAGCTGAAACCAGCCGTTCAAAGGGATGTCTGGTGAACATCACTTTGGTGTAATTGCTTAGAAATTCCTTTTGTAAGGCGGGAGGGTAAGACACCAGCCTTTTGATTAGTGAGGTATGGTGGATGTTGTCATGCTCAATTTCAGAAGCTTCTGCATTCAAGTCTGATTGAAGAAGAAAAATAGTTCTCTTCCAGTTGGAGCAGCCTACCTTAGGCACCTCACAGTAGATAAATTTATGCTTGTGCTCCACAAAAAGCTGGTTTGCAACACGAGAATCCAATTTGCTTCTTGGTTTATCAAGGTTATTCTTCAGGCAGACAGAAGCCAGTGTGGTTTTCCGACCATTTTGAATTGCCAGCCAATTTTCAGTAGGATTGGGAAAAGCATCTGTAACCAAGGAAGAAATTTAAACCATTTCAGTGAAATAGGCTTATATAAATCTCTTTATCTGTGACAATCATAGCACTCGATCTATCACCCTGCACACAAAATCTAATGGAGATGCTAAAATTAATTTTTTTTTTACTGTAACCAGACTAGACTATGGCAAACATGCAATAAACAACCCTCCCTAGTGAAATATTTATTGAAATGAAAACTTTCAATACGTTAGCAGTACTAGTCTAAGCAAGTTTGGTGTTCCAAACACATCATGCTTTTGTAGTGCTCTCCTCTCACATATTTCTGAGGTAACTACCCCAGTGACAAGTGACTAGGCCTTGGATATTTTCACAGTATTGCTTCTATCTTGGGCTCCATAGTTACTTTCTAACATATTTGGAAAAGGTGTCTCTCTTTCTATAAAACATTAAATCTTGTTGGTAATTTCTTTACTCACCTGTTAGATTTTTTTGTCTCCTACAGAAAAACCCAAAAAGAAATAGCCCAAATACAAAATTTGGGAGAAGGAAAACTAACACCTTCTGGTTCATGTTATTCTCACAGGAAGGAAAATGACGTGGTGTCTAAAGTGGAAATCTGTCTTTCTGTCAACAAGGAAAGATAATTCAGGTTAGATTTTGTATGACTGATATAACAAAGATAACACCTATATCTCCTACAGAATTTAGGACAGCACAAAGACTTTTCAAGCCCTATAAAAACAGATTTTACTGATAAGTAAAAATTCTCTTATGGAAAAGACTCACCACAATTATACTGTTAAACCAAATAGATAAATAATATGTCCATTTTGTAGTCTTCCAAAATTCCTCCTTTTTTCAGAACAATGAACTGGTTATGAGCAAATACTCCTCCCTTGTCTTTTAAAGCTGTTGGGGAACGATAACTTCATTTAGAATTACAAAGCTGTATTTTTTTATGATCTTTAGAGTCTGGGAACACAAAGATAACCTGTAACAGTTGTATCCACAAAGACCAGGACACATTCAGGATGAATTTATTTCCATTTATTGCCTTGAAGCTTTGTACTTTGGACAAATAAATACTTGCAGGAGAAACTCTTCCCTATTCCTGCAGAGAATCCACACCACTAACTTGAATTCTCCTGTTGTCCCCATCCAAAGACACTGCATGGTGTATATGTTTGCTGCCATTGCTGCACAGCAGAAGAGCCCCAAAATGGTTCTCTACAATAGGAAATGTAGAAAGTGGTAAAAAACAGAAAAGGAGTTGTTCCATGTTCCCAGATAGAAAGAAAGAAGGCAGTCCAACAGAACATATTTTCTCTGTTGTGCTCACTCATTGTCTCCTGGCACTTCATAGAGAGAGAGACCTATCTAAATCCTCTGTGCAATATTACTCTGTTTCCCTGAGAAGCGAACTCTCCATCAGCATGCTTTTAGTGGAATTTGCAAAATTAACTGCAAAACAATGACTATGGCAAACGTCATTCTCTTTCTGTTCCATAAAGTCTGCACAATCAAAAAAGTCAAACAGTACTGTCTTCTTTTCCCACTTCTCAAGTTTTCACCCTGAACCTGCTGGCAATAAACACATCATTGCCTGGATTCCTTTAGGATGAATTTTTTTTTTTCAATTTTTCTTATTTTGTTTTGTTTTTGCAAGATACAGTAGGAGCACTTCTGGTTTCTCGCATGTTCTGAGATAGCAGTGGAAGCAGTACCAGTTACATTGCTGAAACTGTACTTGAGCACAGGGGTTCCTCCTTTCAGGGCTGATATGTGATTTTGATATCACACACTTTTACCAGAATATCTGCAGACTCATAGAGGTAACAGCATTACTGACAATTAAATCCCTTTTAATGTAGGTATGACCTGGGGAATGGAGAGGGACACTATTCACTCTCTCTGTATTAAAAGTTTACTTGTATTTACAATAAAACATTACAGTACTCATTCAAATTAATGCAGCATTCTTAGAAACAATGGCATTTAGCCTATACTTTTTAAATTTTCTTGGCTGTATAAGACCATTGTAAAGGCTACAGGAAAGGTTATGGGAAGATCTGTCTTTAACCTTTCCTTCACTGTACATCAATTCTCATTTCATGATGTGATCCTTGAGTCCTAATGCATCAGAAGCCATTTTTAAGGTCAGCTAAAGTCAGTCAGGTTGTTCATTGATCTTGTGAGGGCCAAGATTGAGTATTCCCTTTTTATTCTTTTTCAGAAGCAGTTTGAAGACACAACTTTACACTGTGTAGCAATTAAAATCAATATAACTCTAAATAATTCAGTACATGGACTCCTTGTTAGAGTACACCTAGGAGAAAGATGTTGGGCTTCATTCACTTTAAATGCTGTCACTTCAGAGAAGTAATGTTATCATACCTGTCTCAGGAATCAGAAAATTAACTAGATGAATTTTACCCTATTTAGATATTTGTATCATGTGTATTTAATAATTACACTACCACTACAGAATATGAAGTCTGCTATAAAACATATTTCATTTGGAAACATGTCAATGAGTCACCACAGGGAAACAGAAGAGGCTTACTTCCTTGGGGGAAAGAAGGTTTAGGAGCTAGTTAAACACAGGAGACAATTCTTCTTCAAAGACTTATGCATATTTGTGGAACCAAAAGAATTTTTAAGTAAATTAATGAGAATCATAACAAGGGATAGAACAAGCTCCAACATGACAGGTGAAATCTTTCTGGACTCCTTAGAAAACCTCACAGAGCAGACTGGCAGTAAGAGTTAACACTGCCCTCAACTAGTGAGGTCAACATGACATGAAACTACCTTAAGGTGAAGTCCAAAGCCTTCTTCAGAAGATGTTTTCAGATGTGAGACCTCAGTAAGGAGTTCTGTGTGACGCAAAGTTTCCACTGATGAAAATCACCTAAGGGAAACCTGAGGAAGAGGACAAAAGAAAATTCTGAGATCCATTTTGTCAAAGAGGGACAAGTCACATGGAAATTAAAAAGGAGGGAAAAAATCCAAAAAGGAAAGCACCTTTGTCAGTAGGTGTCAGTGTCAGTAAATGAGACAAACTTTTCCTTATATTTATTATGGCTTTCCCATGTAATTGTGTTTGCTGTTTAAGATGTAATACTTTTCCCTTATCCTACCTTAAATTAAGTGTGATTTTACGTAACTCCAAAGCATTCCTCTGTAAAGAAGTGGTGAGCCTATGAACAAGAAATTCATACTGAATAGACTATTTCTGCTGTAATTAAGGGCAGCAGTATGGGCACTCCCAGACAAGACGGAAAGACAGCATCATAAGACTCATGAAACAAAAAAACAGAAACCTCTTCTACTGAAAAGTAACAAAATAGGAAACAGGGAGACAGGGATCTAAATATCTCTTTGAATCTTACACAGTCCCAGAAGAGAATACTTAAAAATTAAATATAAGGCATTAAGGCATTAATCAGCACTGTTCTTGTTGTACATAGTGGGGGAAAGCATGGGGGAGAGATGGATTTTTTTTTTTAATTTTTAATGAAGCATAAAATCTTTCAGATAACAACATTATACTGCACTGTTGTCTTTGCCTTGTTCTTCAGATCACATAATTATAAATCAACTATACATAGCTATGGCTTGATGTTTTTAATATCTGCATGTCTTACTGGATTCTGCAAATTACATCAAAAATCATTTTCGTACTCTTTTTTGGTCATTACTAAATGGTAAGCTGGGCAGCAAGAATGATCCTTATAGAATCCTTTCTTCCAGGAGTCTTTCAGAAGGATTGGTATCAGGAGACTTTTTGAGGCCTGTCAGTTAATTAGTGTTTAATTTCTTCAGTGTGTATCCAGCTGTTTTGATGTCTTTCTAGCTCCTAAGCCAGAACATGCTGTCATGTCAAATGCTTTATACAGTTTAAAAGCCACTACATCAGTGCTGTTGCCTTAATCAACCAAAGCCAAGCAAAAATACTAAGTCTGGTGACATCTGTTTCCTGTAACATAATCCAAAGTTTCTATAGGAGAACAACCACAGCAATTGTTCATGCCAAGAGTGGTAACAAATGGGGAATAGACTACTAGAGAAAGCAATGTCAATCATCTCGTGTGCATGCAAAATGGCAAAAAGGCCTGAAACCCTCATAAAATCAAAAATATTTACTGAATTCAAGCCTTCTTTGCACTTCTGATAATTCCACCGAGGCCCTAAAAGATTCTTTTCTTCCCGATAAATACACTGTAAGTAACAAAATGAAAAACATTGTATCATGTTGTTCATAACTCTGTCAAGTTTGCTGACCGTAAAATGTTCTTCCCATCCTGTTTACTTCAAGAAATTTCTGACAATTGTCTGCTTTTAATTACTTTCAACATCTCCCTTTTCTGCATGGTACACTGGGTGTGGAGATGGCTGGCAACCTACATGCACATCCCCTGCATGGCAGGTGAGATTCAGAAGAGATCAGACGAGCTCTCCATCTCTGTATTGTACTTTTCCAGGGGTGTCAAAAAAAGTGTCATATGCTGAAGTTATTGGAATATTTTTTCTGTTAAATTGCTTTTTACTGGTTCATTTGTCTCATGCTTGCTTTACATTTTGTGATACTAGACCTTCTACAACCTTCCCCTAAGTCTGTCAGTGCTCTGTACTTTAACTGAGCATGTGTAGCCACACCCCAACCACTCACACTTATCCAACCACCAGCTTTGGGTTTCTGATGAGTTCCTTTCCCCCTGACCAAAACAAGATCTGATAGAAAATCTCTAGTACTCTTTCAGTTGGGAAATAGTCAAAGATGTTTTAATAATAGTCACATGAGTATATGACCCAACACATCCACACTCAGACTGAAGTTCTTCCTCCTGCCATGCAGATTTATTTCTAGAACAGGCACCAAAGGAATAGGTTGCATTGCCTGGCATAGGTATCACTTGTACACTGTTCTGTCCTTGAACTGCTGAAACAATGATTCATAATATAGCATTCCCTGATCCTTCTCCTGGAGCTTCTGAACCATTGCAATTGCAAAATCTTCAGTATTTAAAGAAATTTAGCCAAAAAAAAACAACCTTAGGATATTTTTATACTTTCATAAACAATAAGAAGTACTATAGCTGGAAATGTTGAATAATGTTAAGTATTTTTGTGTGGCACCTATTACTCAAGTACAGTAACACACGTACACGTATTACTCAAGTACAGAAACACACGTACACACACGTGTGTACATATATTTACACACACATGAATAGTTCCAAAACACATTAATAGCAGTTACACTGGCATATTATTTGCTCCAAGTAAACTAACTAAGTAGGCTGATAATGATTTCACCTCTTCTGATAATAAACTTACAAAGGTGTGTCTCAAGCTAGTTTTTCACAGACATACCTTGGTCAGAGCTGAGCATGTGGAGTGGTCCTCTGTACCCATTTGATAAGTGGAACTTTCCAGACTAAAAAAATGAAATTACAACAATACTTATTTGTGTTCCTGATACATTTGAAGCCAGAAGTAAAAGAAAGTACCAGTACAGCAGCTCAGTGGAAGGTAGGGAAAAATCTCTGAAAACAGATAACATTCTCAGTTGCTGAACCCCATTCTGTACTTAAGCCCTGTTAATCCCTTCAAAAAGACAACTGCAAATACATACATACTGATATGTGCATGGGTACATAGAAGGTGAGGAGGGGATGGTGGGTAGAAAGCCCCCAAGAACAGCCTGGACAGGAAAACCAAGCTATGGGTGCAGTTCTGCATGTGCTGTTCTATCAGAGTGAATTGCAAGAGCAAGACCCTTGTTCAACCAAATCTGCAGCACCCTTGCTTCTGTACAGTTTGTGATGGGTGGACAGGAGGGAGAAAGACTCCAGAAAGTGGATCCTTAGCAGGCAGGCTGGCCTGTCCATGAAGTGGGACATCAGTAATGGGTTAGGAAACTCATGCAAGTTACAGACAGCCAAGGGCTAGAAAAAGTGTCTGATCTGGGTCATTTTGCCAATAAGAGACAGCATTTGGCAACATCTCATTTGCAGCAAGGGTTGAATTGTGTTAGGTGAGAATGGGTAGAAGCTCAGTGGGGAGACAACATATGGGATAGGCTGGGAGCTCCTGAGGAAAAGGCTGGCAAGAGTGTCCTACAGAACAACACAGCACTGAGGTTGTACGAAGCAACCATTTCCATAACAGGCACCATCTAAAACTCTTGTTCTGTGGTCACCTCAGACCTCCATTACTGCATCAAACTTCTTTCTGGTCTCAGCAACGGTATTGATACCTTCCTTGCTGCCATCATTAATCTGCTTATTATTGTCACTACACCACTTCCTACGCCTGCCTTTTAGCTTTTCCTTCTCTGCTTAATTCCATGTCATCTCCTTGTCTTACCTTCCAAACTTTTTTTGTTATCTGTCATTTCTCATGCAGTATCAAAAGCTCAGCTTTACTTTCTGATACATCATATTGGTAGCCCCTGTTGTCATTAGCCCTGATAACAAAGAAACAGTTCCTGCTTTCTCCTCTGCTGCCTCCATTTATGGATTAAGTTTATGAAGCACCGACAGAGCCATTACATTTTTCACCTAAAATCACTCCTAAAAGTTTTCCCTTTCAGGGGTGCCAACACCAGTTATGATGCCAATGTGCTAAAACTATTACCAACCAGTCCACAAAAGAGCAAGCGAAAGGAAGAGCCAATTTGGGGATGAAAAGGACCAAAGGGAAGAGAAAGAAAAGAGTTCATGGGGAAAGGCAGCAGCAAGTCTGACAGAAAAGCTCCCAGAGAGAGGCAGGAAGCAGAAACCCAAGGAAAAATGATAGAGCTGGGGGCCAAGGGAAATAGAAAGGTTCTGTAGCCTGCTCTAAGTAAGTTGTGGAAAAGGGAGGTTGAGAACTGGACTGAAAAAGACACAAAGTACAATTCAGTGAAGATGAAGAAGAAAAAATTCAAATAAATTAATATAGAAAGCAGTATGTTAATTATCCAATAAACTACCACAGATGTTTAAAAAGGAATGAGACTATATACACTGCAGTCACTTTTGCACTGGAACCCAGCCCTTAGTATGTGATCAAAATTGTACTTCTTTTCCTTCCTGGAACTGCAGCCAGAAAGGTCACAGGCTTCTGATTTTCTAAGAGATAGGTTCAGTGAGAAGACCTGGCTCATGGGTGGGCCCAGCTTGGCTGGGACCAGGGAAGCTGGATACCCGTTCTGCTGCAGCATCGCTGGGGCAGGAACTGGTGGCCTCAGGAGGCTGACATGGGGTGCTGGGCTGTGGGCAGTGGGGGCAGCCCCAGGGGACTGGGCAGTGCCCTGTTACTGCTTTTGGTGCCTGATATCCGGTAATGGGCTGTGGGGCCTTTTTATCTAAACGTTTAATTCAAAATTCCATGCACTTGTCAACTGCCATTTAAATCCTGAAAAACCAATCACAGAGGAACAAACTTCACTGCTTTCTTTTATGGAATCTAGATAAGCCAAAAAAAAAAAAAAAAAAAACAAAAAAAAAAAAAAAAAAAAAACTTGGAAAGAAAGAAAAAGGAGAAAAAAGGACGAAAAGGACGAACAGAACCTAGTGTTAGAACAATGCACCCTAGCCAGGGTGGCAACGAATGATCTCCTCCCAAACTTGTTTCATAGGAAATGGGCCTCACAAATCCCTCTGCTTTGTCACATGTATAACTAACTCTCTGCCTTTGCATATGCCTTAATGTCGCCTCCCATGTTTCTCTTCTCAGTTAATGTCAGTAATAGCAATATTTTCCTTGCCATTCAGGTCTGTCTGACTTGTCTCAGACCTAGGTCCTCTTTGTCCCCTCCTGCTTTTCACCTCCATGTGAAAGCTTGATTCATTTATTCCTGCCATTGCACACCAAATAGCATAGTCAAAACTGTTTGTAAAAGTCCCAGTTACTTAGGACACCACTCCCAGGCAAACTCCTGTTTGCTGTTCACCTTGTGTCCCCACCCCTAGTAATCCTTAACCATAATTGATGACAGCTATGACCTCTCTTTCCCTCTTTACACTCCAGTGAGTACAAAGCATTTCTGCTTAAATGATTTTCCTTTTTGCTCCTATCTCCTCCAGCTTCTCCTCTCATTCTAGTCTAGATTTTGAATCTTCTTTTCAGGATCCAAAACTAATTTTGTCTGAAACCATACCTCTACTCTCATTACCCCCCACTCTTTCTTTTTTATACTCCTTCAAAAACTCCCTTACAGGAATCATGTACAAGTCCCATCACCAGTGATCCGGTGTCTGCTCTTTTACAGAAATAACCTCTTTGCCTGAAACATCCTGACACTTACTGACAAACTGTGTGTATACCTTTTTCTCTCTTCCTAAATGAATCTATGCTTATTCTTTCTTTCCCTTCTGCTTACCTCTGTGTTACAGGGCAAGCTGTTCAGCAGAAATGTTACGTTTAAAGTCTGTTTCTGTGAAACATGTTTTTATAGCATACTATGACACATGCAGTATCAAAAATTAAGAAGTTTGGAGACAGTAGGATTAAAGTGATAAGTTAAATCATAGAGAGCATAAAATGAAGTGTCTGCTGGCTTTTGGCAGAACAGTCTTGAAACTAAAGATTTGACATTTCAGAGCATTTGATGTTACAGTACACTCTAAGTTCAAAATAGTCTTGTGGATTCAGCTGCAGATACAAATGCTTGTAAAATCTGCAAATCTGCTTTCCAGAGTCAGCTCAGGTATCCAGAAAATGGAGAATGGTCAGTCAATGAGTGTCTGAAAAGGTAGGTGTCCCACACCACATGGGATTATCATAGCAGAAAAAGAACCCAAACTCTCCTCCTAAAAACTCTTGCCTGGTACACTGCATGCCTTCTTTCATCTGCCATTGATAGTGGAGATCCTACTGGACAGCCCTTGAGTGTCTCAAGAGCACATTCATGCTCTGAACCAAACATGTCAAGTTCTATGGAGTATTTTGTTTCTTTAAAAAACAGGTGTTGAAAAAGTACTCAAAAAAAGTATTCATGAAGTATCATAACAACATGCACAAAAATAATTTTCAGGATTGAATCAGCTCCCTTGACCAGTCTTATAATACTCACTCTAATGGAATAACCAATAGTGGCAGCAGATTGCTATCTTCTGAGCAAACCCAGCATCAATAGTGACAAGTCCCAAACTCACCAGTATTACCTGCTGGCAGCAACAAAACAGTGAGACTTGACCATGTGGGATGCCATTCCTGGCACTGAAGGAAAATGGTCCATAGCACAGCTTGTCCCTGCTTCCCCCGCTCCCAGCATTAGCGTGACCTGCCCAGACTCTTCCTCTCCTGGTACTCCCACCTCTTTGCACTCCACTGTCCAGCAGCACTCCAAAACTCCTGCTCAAGGCATGTTTGCATGGGCACCAGAGATTTTCCCTTAGCCCCCATCCCAGTGTGACCCCATCTTTCCCAGTCCTTTCTTCTACTCCTCAGGCAAAATTTTAACCCATTCTCCAGCAAATTCTCACCTCCAAAAGCCTTTCTCATATCGTCCCCAGCCAGCTCGCCCAGCAAATCCTGTTTTCCAGCTTCCCAAACACCCATCAGATCTCACCCTGATTCTGCTGTTCAGCCTTCCTCATGCACAAGCCAGCTCTTTGCTGGCTCTCCCTGCCAGACTCCTCCCTGTGTCTCCTCAGTCAGCCTCACAGCCCCCCCTCCAACCACCACACTTCCGAGCCCAGCTCATCAGAACTGTCTCTCCTTCTATTTCCAAGATTCCCACACAGCCCCGCTGCTTCTCACTCTCAGTTCTGTTCACAGCTAGTTCCAGGCTCTACACTTCAGCTTTTATAGTTATTTTAGTATCTCCCAAACTAAACTGACACATTTTCCTTTTCTTTCCCTCCCACATGAATTTTCACACTAGTCATCAAGGCACATTTTCCTGCTGATTTTGTTCCTTGAATCTATTTTGCCAGCAAACCCCAACAATTTCTCCCCTAGAAATTTGCTCACGCTTGTTCTTTAAAACAGATTGTTTACTCTCCTGTGCAGAAGAGGTTCCACTGAGAATGTACAAGAGGAAACTCTTAACCTCATTTTTTAAATGCTTATTTCAAAATCTGCAATGTACCTGGACTTTTTAGAGAAAAGGTCGCTGGAATCATTTAAGAGAAGAAAAAAGAGCACAGATTTCCTGTATAAAAATCAGTAAATTATTTTTGCTCAAAGACATTAAAAAAATATTGAGGCAGATATCTAGCCTGAAAAACTTCTGCTGAAATGCTTGAAATGTGACAAAATCCTGTGTAAATGCAAACTGTATTGAAATTAGAAGAGTCAAGATGCATACCACCCTTAATAAAGTCAGAAAGTGAATGAAAGCCATTGTCATTTCATTTCAGGCACCAGAATCCCTGTAACTTCAATTGCTTAACTGAGGAAAGCCATAGCAATGAATAATAGGCTGCCAAAAAAATCCTCTGTAGATTAATCTCATCACAAAGTGATTTCAAAAGCTAAACAATGTCTCAGTTTATGCCTTAAAATATTTTATGTCAATTTCTAAATACATAAACAAATAAAAAACCCAACCAACTCTGAAAAAGAAATCTCTCTTTGCAGAGATTTGTCTACACTTAAAAAATCATGGTGACATGAAAAGCTGCTAACAATCCAATTTTACTCACCAATCAGACAGCCTCAGTGGAGATTTCCCATGCCTCTGAGTGATGCTAAACAAACAAGAAAGATTCAGACAAAGAAATGTCAGTCCAGAGAGACATGTCATTTTAATTTTATGCCTAGGGATGGAAAGGAAATAGGAAAAAGATTTTGTGTTCTCCTTACCTGATCTTTAAGGCTGGGCAAAGTGCTTCTGTATCCACACAGATGCTTTCATAAGAGAGCATTTGAAACAGTTTGTACACATAGCATTTGTCTCTGTTTTGGTTAAATGCCCCAGTAAAAGTTGCCAGTGTTTCCCTGAGAATGTCTAGTGAGCATCTCCAGTTGCACTTTCCAGAGCACTGTGCTGTGTCTGTCCCTAGGTGTAACGAGCAGCATTTAACCACTCCCCGCGCAGGGTCTACAGCAGCTGCTACAGACTGCCAAGTGCTTCAAGAGCAGCCTGCCAAGAGGCTGCCTGCTAAGCAACCAAGAAAGGGAACGGTCTGGAATATGAGGGCAAAGGTAATTTTGTTGAGAGTAACTGTGTTGTGATAATATGCATTATTTTTAGGTGGAGAACAAGAAGCAAGATCAATTCAAACCCAAAGAACTCTATGCAAGAAGACTCCAATAAACTCTGGGAACTGGAAGGTAAGTTCTCATGGGAAACATGGCTAAAGCAGAAGGAATTCAGTAGAGTTGGCACTTCCTTAAAGACATTATGTTTAGGTACAAACACAAGCAATCCTACACAGTAGGAGGATAGGAAGTATAGTCAGAGACCAACTTGGCTACTTGGCTAAGCAGCACATTCTTCAGTGACCTGAAACACAAGAAGGAAATGTACAGAAAGTGGAAACCAGGTCAAACTCCTAAGGACAAGTATGAAAGAATAGCCATAGATGCTGAAACCAAGTCATAAAGGATAAAGCACACATTTAACTGCAAAAAGAAATGGATATAAGAGACAGCAAGAAAACAAATCTGGAAGGGAAAAAAAAAAAACCTAGTGATAGTTCACTTGCAGAAGGCAGATGTACATTTTCCATCATTTTTCATAAACGGGTGAACTGTAATTACATGACTAATAACTAAACTTAAACTCAGTAAGAAAGAATCTATCTAAAATAGGAAAAGAACAGGGCCAAAAATAATTTGAATGTACTGCAGTTCACATCATCCTCAAGTATACCACTACAGCACGTCTCCAGGAGAGCTCTCTAGTTGTTGTTGATGCACTAAGTGTCCCTGGACTAACACAGGAACCTACACCCCTGCACAGATACAGGAGGCTCCTTCATAGCCTGCTAAAGAGGTGAAGGGAGTGCTGTACAGACTGGCACCTGAGCCCGAGGAACTGCGTGTCAAGGTATCTTGGCAAGGGAGAGAAGCAAGGTCAGATCTGTTTGCTTTGTCTGGAAACCCTCAGAAGTTGTGTGAGAAATGTGGGAAGTGGTGAACACAGTGCTCATCTTTATAAAGTCAAGAAATGAAGAAGAGATCAATTCTGGAAAAAAATACTAGAAAAAATGGAAATATAGATAATTCATAAAAGGCTGGAGATAATTGAGCTACATTGCTTTGTATTTTTTGGCATGTTGGCTATTAATTTCTGTACCATTACAAGAAGTCTTACAAATAGAGAAGAAGTAGGTCACACAACATGTTTTAATTTTAATAATGTTATGACTAGCATTGACTCATAACATTTTCAAAAGTATATTAAAGTGAAACTATTTCTGAAAGAGTGAAAAAATACTTGGGCATAGGGAACAAACAAGGAAAACAAATCCAAGCAAAAAAACCCAACACCAAAACCACAGACTAAGATTAGTTTTTCATCATTCACTATCAACCTCAAAAAATATAATCAGTAAGATTCTAGCTGCGTCCATTCTGGGCCGAGTAATGGTGCAGGTCATTAATGATTTGGATAAAGGAACAATCCTTCCACCTCACAGATAGCAATAAACCCATGTGAACAGTAAACTCATTGCATGATACATTAAACTCAGAATGCTTTTGACAAATAAGACAAATTATCTGTAGGAGAAAACTCATTACAATGCAGTTGTGTTTGCAAGTGTCAGGTTCTAAGGGGGAATAATAGCTCATAAAAATGTGGCAGCTATTCTGCCAAAAAAGGGATAAGAGGGGTACCAGTCAGACATAAGTTATTCGTGAATAAGTAGTGTTTCATTGTATCAAGAATGCAAACTGCATATTAGGAAAAGAAACTGCTTTGATTGTGTATTTGGTTGATACATTAAGGAATACCTCCTGTTATATTTCTGTCTAGCACAGCAACCAGTAGCACTGTGTCCTGTTCAGGCAAAACTGTTCCAAGGGAAGGCAGAACAACTGGAAAGAGTCCAGAGCAAAGCAGAGAAAATGGTCAGTTGTCTTGGGAAAAAAGAAAAGTCACAAGAGAGAGAGTTTGAAAGAATTGGGGTTACTCAGTTTAAAGAACAGAAGGACAACTAAACACATGAGAACACAAGTTACCTCTAGGGAGGTAAGGAGGAATTATATTTTTTTATCTGTGGTGGATAAAGAGATGGGTTCAAACTATGACACTGAAGGTTATGCTACATATTAAGAAAATCTTATTAACAGTAAAGACAATTAGATCCTTTTTCATTTCTGAGGTACTGTTGATTCTCTTTTAGAGCTTCAGAATGCACAAGATGAAATCTTGAGGTCTTTTCCAGTCTCCTTTTCTTTAAGTCTATAGTTCATCCTGTTGTATGATTTAGATGCCCCATCTTACCTCTCTACAAAAACTATATTTATCAAAGTTTTCATGCTAAACTATGCAAACCATGACTGTTATTTCAATATAGTGACTGTGAACCAATGAAGTCACTATGGGGATTAACACAGCCCAGACTGGCATGATGCCACCTTTTTTTTCTACTGTAAATCCCATTAGCTCTCATAAGAAATGTGAAGAGTTTTGGCAAAAGGACTGCTATCTTCCAGAAACTAGTGTGTCTGGTATTTGATGGTACACTGCTATTTCAACTGCCATAAATTTGTCCTTCCTAAGGATTCTAATGGAGTTTGCTAGAGAAGTCTTTGTATCTGCTGAAGCCTGCCCTTCTGGTAAGCTACTCCACCAACTGCCAACAAGACAAAGAGCTCATTTACCTCAGGGGCCATTTATTATGATCAGAGATGAAAGACACAGAATGGAGTGAAATGAGATGTGGGTAGAAAATGTGGAGACACACCTTGTTAGAGGGCTGCAGAATCAGGTTGCTTCATCTAACAATTTTTTCATGTGCTCGTTTTTTGTTTTAATCAAAATTCCAGATCACACAAGTTTAATAAAGTATCCTCACCTGGCAGAAAACATTAATTTCCTTTTTCCTGCCTTCCATCAAAGATCCAATTCTGTCAAGTACAGACATTCTTGGCCAAAGAACTGCATCATACAGATGACCAGCTGTCCTGGTTTAGGGCAAATTTGAGAGGAAACACAACAAATATGTCATAGAGGGATGTTGGTTGCACTAGTGCATTACAGAAGTTCCAAGGACATGTGACTCCATTGCCAACAAATACCAGTGTTGGTCATTACCTGTATTGCCTCTGCTATTTGCTTATAGACACATGTTCAGTTGATTTTGCACAGAAAAAATTCTCTTTGAAGCAGTTTTAATCTTGCAGAAAAAAATACATTTCTCACATTTCATAAACTATTGGAACCAGGAAAAATCAATTTCATACTCCTTCCTGGCCTTCTGAATTTCTATTGAACTCTGCATTTGTCTAAAATATAAAAGATAATCTGTTTCTGTGAAATAGAATATTTGAAAATATACTTTTCAAATTCAGGGTAATATCCAGCATAGCATGAAATTCATGCTTACCCTATAATAAAATACTGGAGGAGTCATACAACAAATATTTTTTCCATAAATTCATTAGCCTACAATTTTTCTCTGGGTACACCTTCCAGATTTTGCTGAAGTAAATTTTTGGTGAGGGCTAGGTA